ATGATCTGGTGAACTGGAAAGGGACCTGAGATGACATGATGTGAATTGGAGCTATAGAAATAAACTGAATTGATTAAAATCTATACATTTCCCCAACGGTGAAAAAAAAACAGCAAAAGAACATTGAAGAACTCAACCTAGATTAATAATTACATTTTAAGGTTGATCTGCAAGTGACAAAAAAAACCCTGAAGAGGAATTGGGGGCAAAAAATAATCTAACAAGGACTTTTGTTGCTCAGCCGATGCAGAACTGGGCTCATTATTTGCTGTACGTGGATTTTTCCCTCCTTTGATGGTCTAATAGACCCTGAGGACAAGCTTAGTCCCTTCACTGATGAGCTGTCCTCACAAAGACAAAAAAAAAAGAACACAGAATAAAAGATAAAGCGTCTCACATCAGAGCCGCTCTCATCCAGAAAACACACTTTCCCCTTCATCTTCAAAGCAACACGTTCCTGCAGCATTTTCAGGTAACCTTCATCACCTGGTGACACCGGTGAAGGGCGCACACGTGCACTGGCTTCCTGCCAACGTGGCAGGTGTGGGTCTGTGGAAGTAAGAGAGGAGGAAAGAGGTAGGAGAGAGAGAGAGGAGTGGGAGGAGAGCGGCGCCGCAGAGTGAGGAGCTGCATTACTGCTGCTGCAGCCTGAGGAGTGAGTGTGTGTGCGGGTGTGTGTGTGGGGGGGGCTGTGTGGCGTCGTTATGGTTCTGATCGGAGCAGCCATCAAATCCGTCCTCAGATTTCTCACCAGGACCACAGGTGAGTTAATAATGAGTAGATGGAAAGGTGGGACAGAGAGGATCCATGGACATCAGTTAGGAATCTTTGAGGATGACCTCATATAATCTCTGGTCTATGATTGGCTGATGAGTGCATGCATTGTATCAAAGATAGTCGACTTCAGCTGTTTTACTTTTATATGAATCAATTAGTTTGATTATTTATTACTTCTTGATGTTTCTACGCTGCTGCAGCCCTGAAATTCAGTGGCTCTGGTTCTTCCCAGGAGGCTCTGGTAAACCCGACCAGTCTGAGGAACCCTGTGGAGATCATGCATCTGTTAAAAATCAGAACATCTGCATTTTTGCAGAGACCAATGAAAACTGGAGCCCTATTCAGGACTTTTCAGAAGGTCCGACTACTTTTCCAGTTATGCTTTGGAGCCTATTGGGAATTTTCTCCACCCATCATGCAGAACCGGACTCCTTTATTTCCTTACGTCTGGCAGATCTACAGCACTGGCCTCTCATCCTGAGGCCAACACATTATTATTGGCCATGAACCAATTAGCTGAGGTCTTTCATTTTTATTTTTATTTTTTTTTACTATACCTGTTAATTTTATTCAATGTATTTCTATAGCTCCAATTCACATCATGTCATCTCAGGTCACTTTCCAGTTCACCAGATCATCCAGTCAGAGGATAGAAGTTTTCTATCCAAGGAAAACCAGCTGATTGCATCGACTCATTGACTCTTCAGCAATCCCTCACACTAAGCATGCTTGTAGCGACAGTGGAGAGGAAAAACTCCCATTTAACAGAAAGAAATCTCCTGTTAAATCTGCCAAGGATGACTGCTAGCTAGCTTAACGTTAGGATTTAGGAAATGTGGGGCCCTAGCCAAAGACAGGCAGGGGGCCCTCTGAATTGTTTTGACTCTGACTTCTTTCCATTATTGTAAGTAAGGAGGAACGAACACTGCTGTGAAGTTAGGAAACTGAGTCAGAAGCATTTCTTGCAAGACGTAAAATTCAATTTTATTAAACATCCTTACATGAGACGGAGAGCATATAAAAGCTCTGACTTAACCATCCTAAGCACATACATTTATACACTTCAGAAATCCCAGCACCTTCTCTTTCTCCCATGAAACTACCGCCTGCACAACTCAATTCATCAAAGACATAAATTTAGCCAGATAAACATTTCAGAACAACCGTTTTTCCTTCATGACATCAACTGTCTTTCGCTCACAACAGAAAAAAAAAGATGTGAGAACCTTACACGCAATAAGGACACGTTTATCCTTGTCTAGAGTAGAGACGGAGACTGGAGCAAATTACTTTTACTAAGCCAAGGAAAAGCACAATTTCACCCTGCCCAGATCAGAACAGGGCTGATTACTGTGCAATAAGAGCCGTATGATGAACTGGTCTCTCTTTGCAAAGATAAAAAATAAAGGCCAACTGAGTTAGATCCATCAATCTCCGTTTATTTAATGGGAGTAAATAGTTGAATACTTTTCTCCCATGACACAAGCCATGATCTGCTTATCTGTTCTCCATTTTTTATTTGGATGAAATAATAGCTGCATGAATCATGACAGCAGACAAGATAGAGGAGAGCAGGAGGCGGGGTTACCAATGTACTCTCTCTGGAGAGCAGAGTTCGCTGCTTTTAGATGTTTTCTAGCACATTTTTTAAATCGAAGTGCTATAGGGGTCTGAAAAGTCATTAAATATAGCAACAAAAGCGCTAAGTTAGAAACATCTATGTTTTCAAATGGTTTGCTGTTGTCTGTTTGGACCTTTCTGAACATGTGCTGCAAATGGACTGATCCAATTATTGTGCACAAATAAGGACTAGTTGCATTAACCATACAGGTAAACATTGTTTTATGGGTCCCCCCAACTCAGTGTTTTTTTTAATTAAACCAGAACTTTATTCTTGGTCCTACTCCTTTCATTTCTAATGGTCAAATGATGACCAGCTGATGTAAACAGCCTACTTTTTTCCTCTCTACTTTTTAAAACTGACCTATTTAAGGTGAGAACAGAAGCGAAAACAATGCTTACTCATTTCCATTTCTCCTGATACTGAAAGTGAGTCAGAGGCAGGATCGGTAGGTAGAGACAACGGAGAAGCTTCTGCTGCCGAGGTGAGCGACGAAGGATGCTGGACAGAATAAAATCTGAAAGATAAAATCAAATCAACGCTTATTAATGTGTTTAATAGTCATATGCAGGCTGGCAAAAACTGAGAAAAACAGGGTTTTTGTGTCATCATCGCTTGGCACAGTGTCATTTTGTTAAGGCTGTATGATGTCATCTCTATTAATTGGGTCTTTATTATGCAATTATTGTTTAGCATATTCACATCATAAATAAACTGAAAGGAAGTGCACCCCTGAAGTCTCTTTCTGGAATACATTGTGTTAAGCTAATTTCATCATTTTATCCTTAGAAGTGGGATTAAAACCAGGATGATGCACATTTGGTTTAGCTTAATAAATATTCTGCCTCTTAAGTAGTTACTGAAGTATAATTCTGATGCCCTTTGATTGAGCCTTACCGTTTAGAAAGTTGAACAGAACCAGGAACTTAGCCACTAAAGCCCAGAGGGTCATGGTTGGGTTGAGGTTTCGACGACCCAAATGCAGAGATGAGTTTAGCTGATTTAATGAATTACTCACAGGCAACTCAGTCAAAAATCCAAAATACTCAGGAACTGCACAGGGAAAGTTTATATAGGACAGAACAAAGACTGGACTAATGAGCTGATTGGGAGCAGGTGTGGATGGAAGCATCTAGAAGGAAGCCAAGGGGAAAGGAAACAAACACTAGGGGGCAACAGAGAGTAACTCAACAACAAAACACTGCTAGAAAAATAGCTACAAATACAAAGAAAATAAAACTTAAACAGAGGGCAGAACCCTGACACAGAGGGTCTTAAGAGCAAATTCCACCTGAAATTCCACATGTTGATTAAAGCAAGTTCAGCTCCCAAACTATAAGTTGGAAATAGAATTGTTTGTATTTGTGTGACAGAAAGGCATTGAGGATTTTTTTTCAGGTAGAATCACTATTTTAAATGTTCCAATGTCTGATTTATAGGGGATTGAAAGAAGAAAAAAAAAATATTTAGCCTCACTTAAATCTTTTTTTCCAAAATAAACACTGCAAAACACCATGCAAGCTAATTTGAAACTCTGGATTAATCCTCAGACTTTATAGATCCACATCTTGACTATAAGTCAAGCAAATTGGGAGTGGGAGAATAGAGATAGAATGAAGCAGAATGGTGAAAAAGGGGTCCCTATGTCCTCCAGCAGTCTAAGCCTATAGCAGCAGAACTATAGAGATAGCTCAGAAATCTGGTCAGACAAATGTGCTGATTTCCATTATTTATAGACCTTCTGCATAAGACTCCTAAGATTAAGCCTTCATTTCATTGAAATTTACCATAATATCACCCAAAAGAATAGAAAATAAGAATAACAGAGCAAGTTTATGCCGGTTACTAGTGTTGTGCCGATGGCATTTTTCGGCCCGATACCTGGCTGTGCAGTATCAGCCGACACAGATACCATCTGTTTGAAATTCATGTGTATATATGAAGAACTGCAGACTACTTGGATGTAAAATAATTGCCATCAAGGCGTTGTCATGGCTCTCAATTGCCAAAGTAGTGCAACTTTCATGAACTGCATTCAGGTGACATACAAACATCAAAATGGTATCGGCGCCCTGTTTGTCGGTACTTGTCACCATTTTAGTGCTGGATCGGAGCCCCGCTGGATACTGGTATCGATATCGGTGCAACACTTCCGGTTCCATCACCTGAAACGGTCGCATAATTACATCCGACCCCTCCTTGGAAAGGTCTAAGTTTCCAATGATGTTGGCGATTAGGGGGCGGGGCTAAAGATGAATACCTGCTGTTGCATTACTCCCGCAGAGTCGCACGTCAGGTGAAATTTTAAATCTCATTTTATTTGTTTACACATCTATAAAACAAAAAGTGTTTGTGGAAAAAATAACCTGATTTGAAAGGCGTGTGGATGAAACACCATGTGACTGTATTTTGGTCTTTTTTATAAATAAACATCAGCAGGTGTCAGTTGGGCCCAGTACCCGGCCTGCCTGGTTTAATTGGTTAAAAACCGGATCAAATCTCATTAGATTCCTGTTTAATATTTTCATTTATACAGACTGTAATCTGCAGGAGTAAAACCTGCAATATAATCAGCATAATCAGTGCTACAGATGGACTTACTGATGTGTTCACTCTAATGAAATAATGTGCAAGGGATCATATTTAACTGTGCCCTTAAATTGAAGCTGACAGGTTTAGGTGGTAATATTATCAGTCTGTCAGCTTACTGGTTTATCTCAGCATTTCAAATGGAGGATGTATTTTTTTTTAAAGCTTCTGGTAGGAAATATATTTGTTTTTGAAAAATAATCTGTTGATTTCACCCTGATTTTGGCTGATTTATAACCTTCTTCAGTTTGATTAATTGAAAAAGACATTTTCTAACATTGTTTCAAAGTTTTTATCACAAATAAAAACACAAACAGTCAACGATTGTTACGTAATATTCGCCCTAGACTCTGATTTGCAGAAAACTGTGCTGAATGCCACATCTGTCCACTAAACCTCCCTGCAAGTCCTACTGCTTCTCCTTCAAATTAAAAGCCCCTGAAGCACAGAATGGAGGTCACCTTGAGGACTGCTGAGAGCTGCAACTTCCATCATCACAGATTAGCTCTGAGTGTGTGAGGAAATGTGCTGAAAGCAGAGCAAACACAAAAGGCTGACCCGTGCTGATTAACTCTCTTGGCTCTGTCTCTGCAGCGGGGGACGGGGACAGTAAATGGTCCGTTCACTACAGTACCCAGAAGCCTCGGCAGGGTCTTCGCTTCATTCCTGGGAAAAGACGATCGGGAAGTGCTGATGACCTGCGAGGTAAGATGGTTGCCGGTGAAGATTCTCAGTCATTCAGGTCACAGTAAAAAAAAAAAAAAAAGTTAAAAAACAATCTAATGGACTTTGTTTGCGAGTTTGAAGACGTTTCTCTCCCATCCAGGAAGCTTTTTCAATTCAAAATGTCAGAAATAGCCTTGAGTTCCAGGATTTATACAGTAGCCCAATAAAGCCTTAAGAAAACATGTAAATTGAAACAGACTAAGGGCTCCAACCCTTGGAACGGTGGTCGTTTGGCTTCCTTTGTTAGCCTGCAATGCCCCATACTTGTCTCAAACCACCCACCTTTGCCCCAATTTTTTTTATTCCCATTTTTTCGCTTTACAGGGGGAAAAAAAAGACCTCGCCTATTCAGCCAGGCCAACAGGCCAACAATTCCCTCTAATGACACCCATTCCAAAGGGATGGACCCATTCATCCGGTTCTATTTGCATGTTTTCTAAGTAAAAACATGGCTTTTTTTTGGTCCACTCTACACAGCCTGGAACTAAATGCTATTTCTGACATTTTAAATTGAAAAAGCTTCCTGTATGGGAAGCGAAACATCTTCAAACTTGGTAAACAAAGTCCAGTGGATTCTTCTTTTTAACTTTTTGGAATGAGATGGTTGCTGTAGTGGCGGTACGGTGTCCTCTTCCTTTAACCCGTCCAAACAGGGAGCATTCTGGGATTAGGGGTTTTACTCGGCGACCCAGAGTGACGGTCTAGGTCACCACTCCCTCCTGTATAGATTCAATACAGCAATTTATGCTTCTGCTTCTGCAGAGTTAATGAGGAAAATAACAGACATCAAAATGCACATATTTAATGCATTGGTTAAATTCTATATTTGGTTTTCACAGAACTTTACAAAGATCTTTACTGAATATATCAAATGATAGTAAGTATTTACAGTCATATGAAAAAGTTTGGGAACTCCTATTAATCTTAATTATCTTTATTTTTAAATATTTGGGTGTTTTCAACAGTTTGATATATCTAATAACTGAAGGTCACAGTAATAT